TCACATGTATGCAGTGTCCACAGAGGTCAGAAGAGGGTGTTAGATTCCTTATTACTGTGGTTATAGATGATTATGACGCTGGGAACTGAACCTGGGTCTTCTGGAGGAGCAACCACTGGTCTTAACCACTAAATCATCACTCCAATCCCAATAAAAAGTCTTTTAAAAGGTAGAGAGTGATAGGAGAGCAACCTAATGTTGGCCTCTGACCTCTTTCTGTCCACACATAGAATATTGTACCTGTGCGCACACACACATACACACACACACAATAAATATAAAATAAGATACCAATTCTCCTATCAATATTAGTCAATATGTAATATAAAACTAAAAATCGGGAAGTTGAGCCATCAGTAAAATTTTAAGCACTTATCTAAGAACACACCCTCAAGGCCAGGAATCCCAGGCCTTTAATCCTGGCACTTGGGAGGCAGAAGCTGGCAGATCTCTGTGAATTTGAGGCTAGGCTGGTCTACATAGTGAGAACCAGGACAGTCAGGCTACATAGTGAGACTCTGTCTCAAAGAAAAGAACACACTTCCATCCTGAGTCAAGTAAGTAATGCTAGCTGGCATGATTGAGGTGGGAGTAGAAAATTTGGAAGCTGGGTATGGTGATACAGGAGGAGCGTGAATTTAGGTCACTCTCAGCTACATCGCAAGTTCAAGGCCACCCTGGGCTACTTAAGACCTTTTTTCAAAACAAACAACCAAAACAAAATGGAACAGAACCCTAAAACAAAGAGAAAGAGGGGTAAAGAGGGGAAGAACAAACCAGGTGGAGTATAAATTTAAGTGCCTCCTGGTGAGACTGCCCTCAGACTTAAGTCCTACTGCCTCAGCCAAGGTGCTGGAGCTGCAGGCCCCTGCTGCTGCACCCAGTGCTTCTCAAGCTTCAATGTGGAAACGAACCTGTATTGACTGCTTGTTTGTTTGTTTGTTTTGAGATGGTCTCATAGCACAGGCTGGCCTCGAAGTTGTGTGTGTATGTGTGTACCAACCAAACTATGTTCTCAGCCCTATGACACCATTTTCAATGTGGCAGTGTTAGTCATCTGTGTAAGGAATGAGGCAGGAAAGGTCAGGTAGAAAAGCGAAACAGTGTGGCACAACTGAGATATAGTGATGCCAAAGTGGGGCGGGAAAGAAAGCACATACGAGCTTGTTACATGGCCTATGCCCATCTGAACATGCTGTGCACCTCTGAGAATGGTAGAACTTTAGTGCTTGACTTCTTTATAAATCAAGGTCATTGTGGCTTCCCTGCCTAGTACCTGCCTCAAAATAGTCTGTGTGTCTTTTTCTGTGTGCCTTTTTGAGACGAAGTCTCACTGTATAACGCTGGTAAAATGTTCTTTCTTGCTGGGCAGTGGAGGCACACAGTTTTAATCCCAACACTCAGGAGGCAGAGGCAGGTGGATCTGAGTTCAAGACCAACTTGGTTTACAAAGTGAGTTCCAGGACATCCAGAGTTACACAGAGAAACCTTGTCTTGAAAACAAACAAACAAACAAGCAAACAAAAAGTTCTTTTTTTATAAAACATTGCTAATTTGGTGATTATTACTTTCCAGTCAGTAAATGCTTATATAGAACACTTTATGTGCTCAGGATTGTACATGGAAGCAAATGAATTAGGATCTGTATTCTCTTAAGGAGATAATTGTTATGAGTATTGTGTATGTAACTATGTGCATATGTGGAAGCCAGAGGACAAATAGGTTCTCTCCTTCCACCTTTAATGGGTTCCAAGGATAAAACTCAGGTCATCAGGCTTTTAAAGCAAGTGTTCTATCTGTTGAGTCATCTTACCAGCCCAAGATCTGCACGCTTGCTTGGTTTTCTCCCTCCCTCCCCCCCTCCCCCCCTCCCTCCCTCCCTCCCTTCCTCCTTTCTTTCTTTCTTTCTTCCTTTCTTTCTTTCTTTCTTTCTTTCTTTCTTTCTTTCTTTCTTTCTTTCTTTCATGATATTCATATGGAAGTTAGAGGACAATTTGCAGTAGTCTGTTCTTTCCACCATATTGGTCTTGGAGATAGAACTCAGGCTGTTAAGCTTAGTGGCAAGCACTTTTGCCCACTGAGTCATCTCACTAGTTCAAACTCTGTTCTTTTAAAAGCTTACATATATTCCAAGCAGGGGAATCAGTGATGTTAAAGATTAACTATACTAATCCGGGGGGTGATACTGCACGCCTTTAATCCCAGCACTTGGGAGGCAGAGGCAGAGGCAAAAGCAGATGAATCTCTGTGTGTTTGAGACCAGTTCTACAGTTAGTTACAGACAGTTAGAGTTGTTAAAAATAACAGCAACAACAAAACTGTACTTTCAAGTGAGTACCATGATCGTTTCTGCTTCAGAGTGTCTGTAGGAATTCAGCAATAGTAAATAAATAAATAAATAAACAAGCAAACAAATAAATAAATAAGCAAGAAAGCAAATTTTAAAACAGAGATCTTGAGTATGTGATGGAGCCAGTAGTAATCTGACTTCAGACTCAGACGACTTCACTTAATGCCAACCAGCAGTTATTCAAAGAAGCGGGGAAAGTGCTGGCAGTACTGCGGAAAGGAGAAGGAAGAGCTATGATGCTAATCACCTAAGTCATGGGATCCTTTATAGGGAAGATGAAATTTTAGCTGATCTTGGAAGGGTGATTTTCAGTACTGTCTTAGTCATTGTCTTAGTTAGGGTTTCTGTTGCTATGAAGAGACATCATGACCATGGCAACTCTTAAAGGAAAACATTTAATCGAGATGACTTGATACAGTTTCAGAGGTTCAGTCCATTATCATCATGATGAGACATGGCAGTGTGCAGACAGACATGGCAGTGTGCAGACAGACATGGCAGTGTGCAGACAGACATGGTGCTGGAGAAGTAGCTGAGATCTGCAGGCAGAAAGAGGGAGAAAAAGGGAGAGAGGAGAGAGAGAGAGACTGGGCCTGGCATGAACTTTTGAAACCCACTCCCAGTGACAAACTTCCTCCAACAAGGGCAGACCTTTTAATCCTTCTCAAATAGTACCTGTTGTAATTTTAAAAGCGGCAGGCAAGAGAAAGAAGCCATGCAATAGAGCTCACATGTAGGGATTTTTTTTTTATTAGGAGAAGAGTGGGGAGACTGACCTCTGGGAACTGGAGCAGCAGAGAAGAGAAAGGGGTAGGGGAGACAGACAGGCAGAGAGAGAAAAAGGATCAGACAGAAAAAGAGAGAAATAGATGGGAGGTGGGCAGGGCCCTTTTAAAAGAGAATGTAGTGAATGTGCGCAGAAGGTGCTCTTGGTGGCTGCAGCTGAGGACGCATCCTGTCAGAACCCCAAGGGCAGGCCAGTACAGATGCCTGAATACTAACAGTACCGCTCCCCATGACTAAACATTCAGATATACAAGCCTAGCCAGGCAGTGGTGGCACACGTCTTTAATCCTAGCACTCAGGAGGCAGAGGCAGGAGAATCTCTGTGAGTTCTAAACCAACCTGGTCTAGAAGAACTAGTTCCAGGACATGCTCCAAAGCTACAGAGAAACCTTGTCTTGGAAAAAAACAAAACAAAACAAAAACAAATATACAAGCTTTTGAGGCTATTCTTACTCAAATCACTATAAATACATACATCCAACTCAAGGAGGGCACTTCAACTATTAATAAATTCCTAGATCATAAAAGCCATTCATGCTAGTTATTAAATCTTGAATTACAGAGGCTGGAGAGATGGCTCAGTGGTTAAGAGCACTGACTGTTCTTCCAGAGGACCTAAGTTCAATTCCCAGCAACCACATGATGACTCACAACAGTCTGTAATTACAATTCCAAGGGACTGAGCGCCCTTACACAGGCATACACACAGACAAAATACCAATGCACATAAAAAAAATAAATAGCCAGGCGGTGGTGGGGCACGCTTTTAATCCCAGCACCCAGAGAGGCAGAGGCAGACGGATCTCTGTGAGTTCGAGGCCCGCCTGGTCTACAAGAGCTAGTTCCAGGACAGGCTCCACTACATTCTTCATTACATCACTCATTGCAGTTGGGGGACAGAAACAGAAAAATTGCCAAGACAATCTCAAGTAAAGGTTTCCTATTTTATTATTTTGTTTACCTTATTTTGCTTTATTTGGCAATTCTACGAAAATGAATCTAGCTGAGTGCTATACCACTGAGCTACAGGCCCAGCTTTTCCAAGCTGTTTTAAAGGCTTGTTATCCTCCCTCTTCCCCATTCTACCATTGCCTTTTACTTCTAGGTATGCTGCCACCAGACATTTAATGAAATTCATCAGTTAGACAGCTTTAAAACTTTACCTACATACATTCCTTTTATGAGACAGATAGTGTACATGTGCTGTGGCACATGGAGGTCAGAGGATGCTCTCTTAATTAGGGTTTCTATTGCTGTGAGGAAGCACTATGACCAAAGAGGAGGTTGGAGAGGAAGGGGTTTAGTTGGCTTACATGTCTGCACTGTAGCCCCTCATTGATGGAAGCTAGAACAGGAACTCGAGAGGAGCTGATGCAGAGGCCATGGAGCTTACTCAGCTTGCTTTCTTATAGAACCCAGGACCATCAGCCCATGGATGGCACAGTCAACAGTGGACTGGCCCTCCGCATCAATCACTAATTAAGAAAAATGCCCTACAGCCAGATCTTATAGGGGCATTTTCTTAATTAAGGTTCTCTCCTTTCAGATAACTCTAGCTTGTTCCAAATTAAATAAGTCTATAGCCAGCACAGATACCCTGCAGGAATTTGTTCTCTCCTAACATCATGTGGACCCTAGAGGTCGAATTTAGGTCATTGGGCTTGGTGGCTAGTGCCTTTAGCCCACTAATTGAGGCCAGATTTAGCTGGCCTCAATTTAGCATCATATTCAAGATTGAGATGGTACAGGGACCTCACAGTACTTCATGTTTCCTATGTCTGGGTAACTCAACTAGTTTTTCCATATGGATTTTTATTCTTATCTTGTTCATTTTGTTTGAAAAAAAATCTGTTTTGTTTTTCAGGTTCATGGGTGTGTGTGTACATCAAGGACAGTTGCATGCACTTACAGAGGTATGACTTTCATAAGTGTGCTGAAGTAATTTCTTTACCTTTGTTTCAGCATCTGTGATCTATTCTAATTATGTTTGTAAGTAAGATGCATGTGCAATTATATTTACACCAAAATGGCAGTGTGTTTGTGTGTTGCCCTGGGACAATAGCCTTAGCTCCTGTGCTCTTATATTCCCTCGTACTAGTTGGTGAGTAGCCTGAGAACATGAGTGTTCCAGTATAAAATTTGGTTCTTGTTTCCCGGATTTCTGCCTTCCAGGTGAAAGGATGTATGACTTGACTGCAAGCCCTTTCTTGGTAACAGATTCCCAGACCACCGGAAAGTAGTGTTGTCTTCTGGAATCAACTGCTCTGGTTTTCTGGTCCTTCTCATTACTCACTGGAGTCAGTAGTTGAGATGAATGAGTGCATTGTGATACGGTCATCTTGGAAGACCAGAGCATCTCTCTCAAATGAAGGCTTGCTGAAATCAGGTGCCATGTTAGTAGCTGCAGAAAATGCTTGACTTCTTCTTGGCAGAAGATTCTTGGAGTCTAGGTCGAATCTGTCTGGATAGGTCCCATTTATGTTCTTTGTTTTGTTAAGACAAGGTCTTGCTGTGTAGCTTCAGCAGGTCTTGAACTGAAATTTCCCTTGCCTCAGTTTCTTGAACATGCAGCCCCATACCACCACACCAGGCCCCACATCTGTATTTTTTCTTTCCTGTATTCTTTAAAAGATATATTTATGTAGTTTATGTATATGGATGCTTTGTCTTCATGTAACCAGAAGAAGCCATCTGATCCCATCATAGACAGTTGTGAGCTGCCATGCGAGTACTGGGAATTGAACTCAGGATTTCTGGAAGAACAGTCGCTGCCCTAAACCACTGAACCATCTCTAGTCCCAAAACAAGCTTCCCCCCTCCTCCCCCAGCAATACAGGATTTCTTGGTTTTCTGGCTGTCCTGAAACTCTCACTGTAGACCAGGCTGACCTTGAACTAGATCCTGCCTCCCAAGTACTGGGATTAAAGGTGTGTGCCACCACAACCTGACTCTTTTCCAGTATCTTTAATTTTTATATTTTATTATTTGTGTGTGTGTGTGTGTATAGCCACATGTGGGTCACAACTTCAGGTGGAATTAGGAGAACAACTTTCAGGGGTTGGTTCCCTCCTTATACTATGTGGATTTGGGGAATCCAGCTCAGATTGTTAGACAAGGTGACAAGCACCCTTAACCACTGAGCCATCTCACTGGCCTAATCTTTTTTATTTTTATTTAGTGTGTGTGTGTATGTGTGTGTGTGTGTGTGTGTGTGTGTGTGTGTGTGTGTGTGTGTGTGTATCTCCATTCATTAGGAGCTCATTAGAAATAAAAAAACTACGAGGCAAATACTTGGTCGACTTACTTGGTGACTGACAAAAGCTATTGGTTGTAAAAGTTTGGCTCTCTCTTACAGGGACAGTTACAATGGTTACAAAGGGAAGAAACTAAACCAATGAGAGATCTAAGGGAGAGGCAAAGAATATGTGTACTATTTTACATTTCTTAGATGTGATTAATAATATCTGGACATAGTTAACAGCCTTTTCTATTACCCAAATCTCAGGACCTAGAAAAAGCAGTCTACTGAATCTAAAATCTTGCATCAAAAACTGATACAGAGCCGGGCGGTGGTGGCGCATGCCTTTAATCCCAGCACTTGGGAGGCAGAGGCAGGAGGATCTCTGTGAGTTCGAAGTCAGCCTGGTCTACAAGAGCTAGTTCCAGGACAAGCTCCAAAGCTACAGAGAAACCCTGTCTGGGGGGGGGGGATGATACAGAGTGTTAATTGCTATTTTGTGTCAGAGTAGGGAGGTGCTGGTGAAGGAAGCTTAGGGCAACATAGGTGCTATTGATCTCTTGAAGACATATAGCAAGGACAGATATGTTAAATGATATAACGAGGACAGACATCTGCAATATTACAGTGGGAAGTCATCTTCCTAACCATCCACAAATATATGTGTGGATGTAATCGTGAGGTTACATGTACACATTATATGAAAATTCATGGTAATGGGGAGATATCATAGCTGTTATTGCACAAGTGAAATTACAGATGAAAGCAACAGTTTTCAGAGTCAGTGGCCCTGCAGGCCCGGGTTCCTCCAACAGAGAACCATTTGTCTGGTAGGTTGACATCCGAATTATCAATTGCTATAAGCTGTAATTGCGTCATGGCCCACAATAGCTTCTCACAAATGCTTCTGACACTTAGGCATACCTTTAATCTCAGCACTTGAAGGCAGAGGCACCCAGGTGGATCTCTGTGAGTTCAGGGATAGCTTGGTCTACATATGGAGTTCCAGGATAGTCAGGGCTACCTAGAGATATTCTGTCTCCAAAAGAAAAGAAAAGAAAAGAAAAGAAAAGAAAAGAAAAGAAAAGAAAAGGAAAAAAAAAGGAAGGAAGGAAGGAAGGGAGAAAAAGAAAAAGAGGCTCCCAAGCATCTAGGTTTGACAGTCATTGTTCTAGAATATTTTCACATTCCTCATTGAGAAGTAATTACCAAAGCTTAAAGTGAAGAAAATTAGGAAGGAAACTTGTTAATGGAATTTGCAAGAATAATGATTTCCTGTTGACTTGGTGCCTGGTAATTGTTCCCTTTTTTTTGGTTTGGTTTGGTTTTGGTTTTTCGAGACAGGGTTTCTCTGTAGCTTTGGAGCCTGTCCTGGAACTAGCTCTTGTAGAGCAGGCTGGCCTCGAACTCACAGAGATCCGCCTCTCTTTGCCTCCTGAGTGCTGGGATTAAAGGCATGCGATGGTGGCCTGATATTTGTTTTTAATACCTTAAGAAAGAAAGTTCCGGGACTGGAAAGATGGCTCATCGGTTAAGAGCACTGGCTGTTCTTTCAGAGGTCCTGAGTTCAATTCCCAGCATCCACATGGCAGCTTACAATTGCCTGTAACTCTATCTCCAGGGATCTGACTCCCTTGCACAGCATACATGCTGACAAAATACCAGTGCACATAAAGTAAAAATAAATAAATCATAAAAAAAGAAAGTTCCATATGCTGCAGGCATGTTCTTTTCTCAGTTACTGAAGACTAGAATATTCTAGATCAGGCCAATCCCAGCACTCAGGAGGCAGAGACAGGCCTGATCTATATAGCGAGTTCTAGGCTAGCCAAGACAACATAGTGAGACCCTATCTCAAAAGAAAAAGAATATAGAATGTTTTGCCTCTTTTCTTTCTTCTTTGTAATTTTTTTTTTTTTTTTGAGACAGGGTTTCACTGTATAGCCTTGGCTGTCCTAGAACTCACTTTGTAGATTAGGCCAGCCTCAACACAAAGATCTGCCTGTCTCTGCCCCCCCCCCCCGAGTGCTGGGATAAAAGGTGTGCACCATCCCCACCCAGAATGTTTTGCTTCTTATATGGTCAGAAGGATGGAAGAATGGGGAGGAAGTCAAGAATGCAAATTTTGACATCTTGATTGCCTAGGTTTGAGTCTGTTGAGCCTCCATGTTTTCCTGTGTTAAATGGAAATACTAATAGTTTCTGCTGCAAGGAGCATAGAAGAGAGGAAAGGAACCAAGCTCTGGAGTATTTTAGCTTTAATAGTCAGGGAGGATAGACTCAGGAGCGGATGGGGAGGGAGGAAGCAAAACTGTTGGTCTAGAATGGGAAAGGAGTTTCGAGGAGGAAGGAGTAATTAAATGTGACATGTTGCTGATACGGTGGATGACCTAACTAGGATAAAATAGAAAATGCTCATTTAGCACAGTGCCTTGCATATAATAATTGCTGCATGCTAATTGTTGAAACTCGTATTTCTCACAGTGACAAGTCTTTCCTTTGAATTCCGGTTTGTCTTTTTTTTTTCCATTAATGTTAAAATTTGAAGAGCTTTTCACTGAATTATAATGTAACAGAAGATGCACATATATGAAAAGTATTGGTCACTAAATTTTTTCAAATGAATATGCTCATAATTTACACCCCAGATCTAGAAAGATTTTCTATATATTTCTGTTCTGAGAAGTGAACCTACACATTCTTTAAAGGTTAGCTGGGCATGGTGGCTGACACCTATAGTCCTAGCGTGTGGGAGGTGGAAACAAGGGGTAAGAGTTAGTCTGTTAGGGTAGTTAACTTGGGAAATTTTTGTTTGTATGAATTGGTGTGTGTTGTTTCTGAGCTGGCTTTGTCAGACTTATAAGAAGCCTTTTATAATCTTTGAGCTTAAGGTGAAAGGAAACTCTATGGGTTCAGTGACCTAACTCATGCATTATTTATAAAAGGAGCAGCTAGATCCTGATTCCAGTGTCTTGGTGTGCTGTGTGCCAGTTGTCTCTTACTTACCTTGTTTTGTATGGCTTAGTACAAAGTATTCTGTCCTAATTTGCCTTGTGTTGGATGTAAGGCTGCCAGGTTGTCCTGTGTTAGGTTAACTTTGGCAGCAGAAGCATGAGTGTCTGAAGTGTGGGGCAGTTCTGGGGAGGCTCTTGTGACCATGGTAAAGGAGACTATTAAGAATACCCATTAGAATGGCCTCTTTGAGGCCTGGTGGTGGGCACGCCTTTAGTCCTAGCACTTGGGAGGCAGAGGCAGGTGGATCTCTGTGAGTTTGAAGCCAGCCTAATCTACAGAGTTCCGGGACAACCAGAATGTTACACAAAGAAACCCTATTTTGAAAAACAAAATAAAACTAAAATCCTCTTCAATTCAGAAATCCCTAAAGGACTAGCGATGGTGAGCACAAATGACAACCTATAAGGGGAGGGCTGGGTTATAGCTCAAGGCTAGAGGCCCTTGGGTCAACCCCTAGTGCCAACAAAACAAGGAAACAAAGCGTAGAACTGTAAGGGAAGATGTTTTTGGTCATAAACACTTTGAGTCTAGTATGAGATAGGCACTTTGCTAGTTTTGGGTTTAGAATTTAAAAAGACCATTGTTTAGAGGGGCAGGGTAGGGTAGCAAGCACCTGTTTCTTGCTGGAACCCTTCCTCTTCTTCCTCTTTCACACAGGTG